TGATCCCTGCCAAGTGCACGCGTGCACACACATGCACACACACATGCATACACACATGCATATACACACATATGCACGTTCACTGTCAATCGTGTGCATACAGATGTGCATGTGAACACTTGCACACACCTGTGCATCCATCCATGCACATGCACACCCATGTAAGCACACGTGCACACACATGTGCACGTTCACTGTCAATCGTGTGCATACAGATGTGCACGTGAACACTTGCACACACCTGTGCATCCATCCATGCACATGCACACCCATGTAAGCACACATATGCATACACATGCACACACTCGTGTGCACGCTCACTTGCACATGCACACATGTGCCTCCCCTTCTCCACCTGCCATAGACACAGAGGAAAGACCCCTGAGCTCCTCTGGCCAACTCGGGCTCCTGTCCAACCCTCAAGCTCAGCCTGCTGCATCAGGATGGCCCATGACATCTTATTTCTTGTGGCGGCATCCCAACGTGTCCTGGGGGGTGCACAGAAGCCAAGCCCCACTTACTATTTCGAGGTAGTCATGTGGGTTCCTAAGAGGGGCAGTGCCGCAGTGAGGGAGAACATGGGGGCTGAGTAGCTACAGTGAGAAGATGGGGGTCCAGGACCCCTGCACCATCCTCCTTTCCCACAACACTGGCCCTCAAGCCCCTCCCCATCCCCTAGGAACCCTTGATTGCACAGACTGGGCCAAGAGCTTCAGAGACGTGTGGTTCACCCCAGCCTGACAGCGCTGAGCAGGACTGGCCCTCACCATGCTCGGGAAAGAGTGGACAGCTGAGGCTGGCACCCCAGGAGGGGCGGGTGGGCTGTGACTACAGCTGTCTGACTGGGGAGACTTGACTCTTGAGCTACACTCATTAGAATCTGCACGTTTACCACAAGCCAGCCTCGTGTGCGATCGCACACAAGCATGCAGTCACACACGCGTACATGCGGTGCACAGGCATCTGCATGCTCAGCCACACCCTCTGGCTGCAGATGTGGACGAGTGCCTGCAGGGCCGCTGCGAGCAGACCTGCGTCAACTCCCCAGGGAGCTACAGCTGCCACTGCAACGGGCGCGGGGGCCTCAAGCTGTCCGCTGACATGGACACCTGCGAGGTAGGGGCCCCATCACTGTGGGGTCTGGGGAAATGCACTCAGTGCTTGTCGAAGGCTTTGGGGGTCTTGGGGCCACATGGAGAGGTTGGGATGGGAGACGTCTCCGCTCTGTGATGGACGTTTGGTCGTATTTACACGTCTCTGTGGCAGCCTGTGCGTTCTGCACACTTGGTTGGTGCTGAGTTGGGAGTTGCTGCAGAGACACCATGGCAGCAGTGTCCCCAGGCCTGGGACTGAGCGGTCGGGGGCACCCAACCCGCTCAGGCCTCCGCGTTCCTTGCCTGAATCCTTGCCTTCTGTGGAGCGGTGTCCTTGGGCGGCTGCAGGGCTGTCGGAAGCCCCGTCTCTGCATGGCCTCCCTCCCGGGATGTCTGCGGAGTGCCCACTGCAGCTCCCTGTCCAGCTCGCCCCAGACGGCCTGTGGTGGGCAGAGCAGGCCCCACTCTAACCCCAGCTCTGTTGCCCCCCAGTCCTCCAGGAGGGCCAGCTCACACCTGCCTGGGTTCCGTCCTCCCTCGGAGTACGTGCAGAAGCTGCAGCAAAGAGCAGGGAACATTCTAGAAGACAGTCTTCACAGCTTCCATATTTTATTTATTTTATAATAGTTTTCTGGTGATTCTCTATACTTTTCTGTATGTTTGAAATAATGATTTAAAAAACAAAAGCCAAAAGGGAAATGGCAGGGAAAGAGGCTCGGGGACGGCACAGAGGCGATGTGGGATGTGTAGGCTGTAACCCGCGAGCTGGCTTTCTCGCTGGCACGCCCCACATGGCGGGTCAGGCTGTGACAATCTCTGTGGGATGTCCAGAGTGAGCCTGGGGCGCGGACGAGGACTGGGAGGGACAGAGGATGAGCCTCAAGGTAGAGAGAGAGGCTGAACCCCTGTCCTGCGGCAGGACATCTTGCCGTGTGTGCCTTTCAGTGTTGCCAAGAGTATGAAGTCCTTGTACCTGGGCCGTATGTTCAGTGGGACCCCTGTGATCAGACTGCGCTTCAAGAGGCTGCAGCCCACCAGGTGAGAAGGCAATTGACACACGACAACAAAACCCGGGTGAAGCAGCCATTGCCACAGCATCGCAGATCCGGGGCCAGAGGAGGCATGGTGCCTGAGTCCAGAACTGTCCCGGGCCATCCACTGGGCCCTGGTGCAAACATCTGCGTGGCCTCTGGTATCCTGGAGAGGGTTATGGCGTGCTGGGTGGGGCTCAGCCTGAGCGGGGGAACCATGAGCCTCCTGCCTGTGTACCCTCTGATTGTGTCCCGTGCCCTGCCCAGGCTCGTGGCTGAGTTTGACTTCCGGACCTTTGACCCTGAGGGGGTCCTCTTCTTCGCTGGGGGCCATCAGGACAGCACCTGGATCGTGCTGGCCCTGAGGGCCGGCCGGCTGGAGCTGCAGCTGCACTACAACGGTGTGGGCCGTGTCACCAGCAGCGGGCCGGTCATCAACCATGGCATGTGGCAGACGGTGGGTGTGGGGTCACAGCCCCTTCCATGTTCTCTCACTCACTCCACAGCACTGTGGCTCTGTGCTGGCAGGTTGTGCGGCCCATGGAGGCGGGAGGTTGTGCGGGCCCACAGAGATGATTTCAGTCAGATGGTAGACAGGGTGAGCTGACGCTTGGGTTCTGGGGCACACTAAGGAGCTTTGGGGTTCCTCTCGAAGAAAGCAGGAAGACATTGAAGGCTGTGGGGAGAGGCCGAGTGGGATCTTTTCTCTTGCAAAGATGTCCGTGCTGTGTGGACTGCCAGGGGAGCCTGGCAGCAGTCAGTGCTGCGGCCAGAGCCGGGTGGGCATCTGACCTGTGAGCATGCTGGCCCGGGCGTCCCTTCTGGATGGCAGACCACCCGTCACCTCTGTGACATGTTCGTTAACCCTCCTGAGTCACAGCTTGTCCGTAACACAGAGACTTCCTGCCTTTGCAGGCAGCGGTGAGAAGTGAGCACCTCTGGGGCCAGCCCTGCTGCCACCTCCAAGGGCAGGGCCGGGCCCCGTGCAGACACAGCCTCCCTGTTCTTTCACAACAGCAGCAGCCGTGGCTTGGGGACACCCTGGCCTCAGCCCTGCTCCCCCTGCTCAGCAGGAGACTGGACCCAGCGGCCCCTCAGACAGGATCATCTGCCTGTCCCTGCAGCGAGGCCAAGGCCACCAGGGCCTCCTGGGATCTCCCACAAGTTTCCTGAGAGCTCAGGGGACGCAGGGTCATCCTCCCTGGAGGGCATCAAGGTGATGTCATGCTGGGGAAAGCTTTGAAGAAGGGTCAGTGCAGCCAGAAGAGAAGGGGAGGGTCTTTCAGAGGAAGGTGGCCATTAGCCACTGTAGAGAAAGTGTCAGAAAGGAGTGAAAACTGGGCAGGTAGGGGACCGGCGAGTGCAGCTCAGCTGTGGGCGGGAGCTCCGCGCAGGGTCTGCTGTCCTCCTTGTGCGAGGCCTGGCTCTGACAGATGCCGTCAAAGACGGGAGCTCTGCCGGCCTCCTGTGGGATCAGCCAGGCCGTGAGCCACCTACGTGGCCATACAAATCTCAGCTCTAACACTGTTCTATGGTGGCCCCAGGTGTGAGCCCCAGGGCCCTGGCAGAGCAAATGAAAAGTCTGTGAAGGAAGATAATGTAACTCCAGGCCCGAAGTCATTTCCCACATAGTTCTTTGCACGCAGCGTTCAGTGCACTATCCAGAAAACCGGCACGCAGGTCTGTGTGTGAGCATGTAGCAAAACCATTACCAAAACCCCAGCCTGGAAAACTGGAACCTGCAGGCGGCGGCTCGGGTAGATGTGGGTAAATGTGGACGCCGCTGCCGTGCAGGGAAAGGGGAGAAGCAGAGAGAGAGGGGCCTGCGTCAGCAGCGTGGATGAGTCTCAGAAACACAGCATCGAGCAAAAGCACACGGGGATCTCGCTGATGTTAGGTGTGAAACTTGTTACTTAGGGATCTAGCTTGGTGGTAAATTTATAAAGAACAGCAAAGAGTGGTCCCTTGAGCAGGCAGGAGCTGGGGCTGGGGGACATGCAGGGACTCGGGTGCCAACAGTTCTGTGAGGTTCATTAAGCTGCACATTTATGTCATATGAACCTTTTTACGTCTTTGTTACATTTTTCAGTAAAAGGTTTTTTTTTTTTTTGTGACCGGTAAGAGGATCGTAACCCTTGGCTTGGTGTCACCCACACCACTCTCAGCCAGTGAGTGCACCAGCCATCCCTATATAGGATCCAAACCCGCGGCGGGAGTGCCACTGCGCTCCCAGCACCACACTCTCCCGAGTGAGCCACGGGGTCGGCCCTGCAGTAAAAGGTTTTAAACACTGAGACTGCATTAGGGTTCAGTCCGCCCCTGTGCGTCTGGAGTGCCCCCAAAGCCACGCATGCACCAGAAGACAACCATTGCCTCTGTCCACGGGTGCCAGAGACAGGAGGATGCACGTCTCGCTCAGAGAAGAGAGAACGGGCCCAGGCCTGTGTGTTTGCTTCACCGTGGGCGTTTCCCACACCAGTGTAGACGGGGGCGGGGGGGCCTGTGCACAATGCAGCCACACTGTGCGGTTCCTCCGTCTTGTGCCTGAAGGAGACATCGGTTTGCTTGTTCTTTGAGATCTGGCAGAAGTGGCACGTGGAACTTTCTGTGGAAATGCTCATGTAACAAGTTGATTCTCATGATCCTACACCCACTGGAGAGGTCTCCGTTGTCATTTGCTGCAGCATGCTTTTGTTTTCAAACCGTGACCTGTGAGCTCACAAGGTGATCCATGGTGGTGGCCTGTACAGCCCCCTGCCCTGAGCATGGAGGGGGTGTGCAGAAGCGCTGGCCCAGGTGACCATGAGTGTGGCCTCCCCGAGGCTGGGTGTCTCTTGGCCCAGGTGAAGATCAGAGCGTGGTCTCCCCGAGGCTGGTTGCCTCCTGGACGTACGCGATCGTGAACGTGGTCTCATGTTAGGCAGGCATTCCTCCAGAAGTTACACTTACCGGTTCTCACGGTCCTGGCTTCTCTCAGATCTCGGTCGAGGAGCTGGAGCGCAATGTAGTCATCAAGGTCAATAAGGATGCTGTCATGAAAATCGCGGTGGCAGGGGATCTGTTTCAGCTGGACCGAGGACTGTACCATCTGAACCTCACCGTGGGAGGGATTCCCTTCAAGGAGAAACACCTCGTGCAGCCTGTGAGTACCACTGCTGTCACCTGTCAAAGTGCAGCCTGCTGCATGCTGGGACGCGGGTCCGTGTCAGGGTGTGTTCAGCCGTGTGCCGATGTGTGTTTAGTGTTAACCAAATTTGGCAAAAGACCTAGAGGAAGGCGAAGGGTTCCTAGAATTTGACACACAGCAGGGGCGGCTGCATCATTAATCTCACTGTCTCTTTTTATAAGAACCATTTGAGTTTCCATTTGAATTGGTTATCAAAGTGTCCATTTTACAGTGGAGATAAAACACAATGAAATTATTCTTTAAGAAAAAGAACAGTCAACCTTTTTGGACAATTCCCAACAACACTTTGGGTTGCTCACCCTGCCAGAATTGTCATAAGGGAATAACCCACGGGGGGGAGGTCAGCGTCGGCTGTCTTACACGGCCCTGCCTCTCCCCACGCCTTCCCCCGCCATTAGCCTGTGCACCTCGTCTGTGTGTCTCCTCTCCCACGTGCTGATGCTGGTGGCTGGCATCCGTGGTGTTGTGATTACAATGTCCACACCCACTGGACAAAGCATGCTTGGTGCTGAGTAGCAGGGGGGTTGGCGCTAGGGCCACTGTGCAGAGGGCCATAAGGAGGGATGTCCTGCCACCCTTGACTTGGACACACTCCCTGGATCTACTCACACCGCTCACACCTCTTTGTGCCACGACAGAGGCCAAGGTGATCCACACTGTGCACACCGTACCGCAGGTGCACGGCCAAGCTGGGGCCACTTCCCAGCCCTCAGACTTGCACTGGCACACGTGCTTCCCAGGTGCCAGCTCTGCACTCCAGGCACAGCTGTGGTGCAGGTGCTGCCTCCCCCTGCCCCGCCCCGGCAGGCAGGCAGGCAGGCGGCCTGTGCTCCCCTCTGCTTCCTGAGTGGGGAGACGGGTGCAGACACAGGAGGCGGGCTCACTTAATGTGATACAAGTGCTCTTACCCCACGTGGAAGTAGGCGTCCCGTGGCGAGCCCTTTGGTGAGGTGCAGAGCCCTCTTCTGAGATCCCCATGCAGGTGGGATTTGTGCATTCTGCAGTG